CAAGATGGGGTTGAAAGGGTTATTGCATATTTTAGTCAGGTTTTAAATAAATCGGAACGAAATTATTGTGTGACCCGTCGGGAGTTATTAGCAATAGTTAATTCTATAAAATCTTTCCATCATTATTTATACGGTAGGAATTTTTTGGTTAGAACTGATCATAATTCTTTACATTGGTTAACTTCTTTTAGGGGATTGGAAGGACAACTAGCTCGATGGTTAGAGAGATTGCAGCAGTATGATTTCCGGATAGTGTATCGAAAGGGAATACCGCATCAAAATGCAGATGGGTTATCTAGATGTGCTCTGCCATGATGGCTGCAATTATTGTGATAAGGTGGAAGCTAGAAAGGAATCCAGTGAGGAAGGCTTAATAGCTCGAATAGTTTTGCAGGAAGATGTTCTGGAGGAGTGGCGTAAGGAACAATTTGAAGATTCAGTGGTCTCTATATTTTTGCGTGCTAAAGAAAAAGGAGAAATTCCACTTCGTGAGGATTTGGCCAGTCTTGAATCTTCGGCCAGGGTTTATTTTTCCTATTGGGATGCTCTTTTGACAAAAGCTGGGGTTCTTTATAAGAGGTGGGAATCTCCATATACTAAACTCGTTATTGATCAAATTATAGTTCCTCGTACTCGGGACAAATTTTGAGAGCTGCTCGTGACACGCCTACAGGAGGTCATTTCGGGATCAACAAAACTCTGGATAAAATTCGTAAACGTTTTTATTGGGCTTCGTGTAAGCAAGATGTGGAAAATTGGTGTCGGAGTTGTAATATTTGTAATGCAAGAAAGGGTCCCTTTGGGAAGGGTAAATCTCCGTTGCAAATTTACAATGTCGGTGCTCCATTTGAAAGAATTCAGATGGACATGTTGGGTCCTCTTCCATATTCGTCTTCAGGGAATCGTTTTCTCCTGGTAATAGTGGACTGTTTTACAAAATGGGTCGAGGCTTTTCCGTTAAAAAATAATAGGGCTAAGACGGTGGCGGAAGTTTTTGTTTATGAAATAGTTTCTAGGCATGGCGTGCCATGCGAATTGCATACTGATCAGGGAAGAAATTTCGAATTGAAAGTTTTTCAGGAAATTGTTCGTTTATTGGGAATTAAGAAGACTAGAACAACTGCCTTACATCCCCAGTCCGATGGTCAGGTTGAACGCCAGCATCAGACAATTTTAAATTATCTGTCAAAATTCGTGGCAGAAAATCAAAGGGATTGGGATAAATGGATTCCTTTGTGCGTGTTAACTTGTCGGTCATCAAGACATGAGGCTACAGGTTTTTCTCCTGCGGAGTTGTATTTTGGTCGGGAACTTCGGCTTCCCATGGATTTATTGCGAGGAAGTCCATCTGAGAATAGGGATAATAACGCAAGGGAATGTTATAGTTGGAAATTCAGAGAAAGACTGGATGCGATCCATCGCAGTGCGAGAGAACACTTGAATCTAAAATCTTTGTGAGTAAAGGATCTATGATCAGAAAGCTAAGCGGATTAATTTCAAAATAAAACAAAAAGTTTGGTTATTTAATCCTCAAAGAAGGAAGGGAAGGGCCCCGAAATTATAAAATAATTGAGAGGGGCCTTATGAGATTGTCAGGCAGCTTAGTGAGGTAGTTTTTGGAATTCGCAAATCGGCTAGGCATAGACAAAAGGTTGTTCATTCACATAGAATAGCTCTATTTTTGGAAAGATAAACCCTTAATTCTATTTTTTTTTGTTGCCAGGATGGTCTTGGGTGCTTCTGAAGTTTTGGTGTGGTTTTGACGTTCAAAGAGGAAAATGGGATTGGAAATTAAGCTGAAAATTTACAGTTTTCCGGAATATGCTTGTTAGTCGTCCAATGGAAGAAGACCGTCTCGCTCGCGGTTTTTTTGGGCCCCGTGGTTTTTTCCGCGGGATTGAGGGCAAATGCCGAGACGGTGACAAAAAGAAATCCTTTAAGGATATTAGAGACCACGGGGAAGTTATACTCCCCCCCTTTTTATCCGAAGACTTCGTCAAGACTGGAAGGACGAAAGAAGAGATTCGGACGGCGTTCAAGGAGGGCTAGCAGTTCTTAGACTTTGAAGGAAACCGGAACAAGAAGACTGGCCCAAAAAGTCCTGGAGACTGATCATCTCCTAGAGGACAGGGATAGAAATGATCTTCTGAAGACGAAGAATCAAGATCCTCAGAATCCTTGATTGAGATCAGAAATTCATGGAGTCCGGTAACCTGTAGCAGCAGCTCAGGGTAGGACAAGAGTCATGAAGATCTCTGGAGTCAAGGGAGAGAATGACATTGCCTAGGAGAATTGTCGGGAGGACAATTTGAAGAGACGGGGGGCAGTGTTACGTTCCCGTATGTACGTCTTGCCGAACGTGGAATGTGTCGGCGCTCATCTTAGCAACCGTTATTATGGTGGTTGTTGTTGTTGACAGCAAGGGTAACTTTCTGTGAAGCGATCGAGCGGCTCGGTAAAATTACGCTGAGAGTTTCCTCTGAATAATTGTTCTTGTTTGCAAGCTTTGTACAAAGCTTTGTTTATATTAAAGAGTTCTTGTTATTTGTTCACGGGAGTGTTGCTTACTATTTATGCGGGAGATCGTGAGTGAGAGGAAAACGATGCTTGAACGTAACAATATATTACAAAATATTGCTATATATTTTCGTTTTATAGGAAAGAACAAATTTTCGTCATACTGAGAAATTAATGACTGAGACAAATGGCAACATGCAATTGTATGTTATATACATCCAAAGTAAACAAAGAAACACTTTCATTCCAAGGTGACGGGTGGTTTTCTAATCTTCTGTGTCCGTTGCTAAGCAACTCCGATTGTAGCATTTGATCTCTATTTAAATTATATAAAATATTCCACGTTTTATATCCATCTCCACTTTTAAATTTTTATAATTTCTTTGAAAGCTATATTTATCAAATTAATATTAATCCATCAAATATTGTTACTTCCTTACATATTAATATTTGCAACGTGGAAATTGGAAAGTTAAGTAGCAGTGGAAAAGAATAATTTTGATTTATATTTATCGATATAATATATCTAATAATCTAATCTTATTTATCTAATAATTTAAATATCTAATTTATGTTATGAAATTTATCGTTATAATGTAATATAATATTTATCGCAAAATGTAATATTTTTAATCAGCTGTCAGTTTGCTTTGCAATTTCAATATAATAATTCATTTGTTATATCATATCAGAAACACATAGAAAAAAGAATTAGTTACAAAGTTTTATCCTAAGTATGGATGGTTAAGATCATTTATATAGCAAAAGTTATAATTTAGTAATAGTAGCAAAATCTTTTCATAATTATTACTAAAATTGTGTTTTAAAATTCATCGCTAGCCCTGAAAATCTATGTAACATATATTACATGTACTATAGACTTTCAGTGTTAGCAGTGAACACAGTTTTAATAATGATTACAAAAAATTTTGCTATTATTACTAAACTATAGCTCTCGCTATATAAATGACCCTAATTAATCATAATTACAACAAAATCTTTGCAGATATTCTTTTATTCGCGCAATATATTCTACACTAATCAATAGGTAAATTTTTCACTGATTAGATCAATATACTTTCGCTGACTCATTCAGCATTTCCAAGTTTCACTATTTTACCAGCTGAATTTCACTGATTTTCAGATATATTGGTTTGGCAATTAAGTAATTGCGGTTTTTTTTAAAGAAAATAAAAGACAATTTTTTCATGGAACGAAATAACTTTATGCAGTAATGTATTGTCCATTTTTATCAATGATCTTTTGTCATCTGTCAGGCAGCATAATTCCACGTTCATAAATTTCTGGCTTTTATCGGTAAAAAACTGAACCAAGTGCGATTTGACATCATCATTATTGAAATTTTTACCATTCAAGAAGTTTCGCAAATAACGAAATAAATAACAATCTGATGGTGCAAAGTCAAAACTATATGATGGATATGGCAACACATTCCAACCATGCTCCAATAATTTTTGCCGAGTAACCAAAGTATGTGGCCTTGCATTGTCATGGTGGAATACAATACAACTTTTCGATTTGCCAGTTCTGGTCGCTTTTCTTGAATTGCATTCAGTTTGGTTAGTTGTTAAATGTATACATTTGAATTGATCGTTTGGTTGCGGGGTAAAATGTCAACAAAATGTCTCCACGATCTTTTTCGATTGACATTGTTGTAAACAACCCATTTTTCATCGCCAGTTATCAATCGTTTCAAAAATGGGGCATTTTCGTTACGTTCATAAGCAAATCGCAGATGTATTGTGTTAAGTGAATTTCTTTAAATTCATGAGGAACCCATAAATCGAATGTTTTTACATAACCAAGTTATTTTAAACACTTTTCAATGCATGTATATGATACATCAAGCTTCTCTGTAATCTCACGTGTTGTGCTATAACGATCCACGTCGATTATTGCTTTGATTCGGTCTACATCAACTTCGCCTGGACGACCAGAGCGTTGTTCATCTTTGAGTGAAAAATCACCAGAACGAAATTTAGCAAACCAATGTTGATACTATCGTTCTTTTAAGGCTTTGTCACTATACACAGCATATAACTTTTTTTGAGCTTGCGTTGCGTTTTTTCTTTTGCGAAAATAAAAAAGGAAAATATGACGAAAATGCTCGTTTTATTTTCCCATTTTTCAACCGAACAATTTTTCAGCCAAACAAAAACTACACAACCGATCGATATCGAATTTTTTTATTGAATGCTAATTGAAATACCAACTATCAAACAGCAATATGGGTTTGACTTTTTGGATACGTAGATATACCTAAAAATTCGACTATCGTCATTTGTCAGTAAAATCTGCAATTACTTAGTTGCCAACCGAATACATACTGACACTAATAATGCATTTAGTGAATACTTACAGACAATCAACGACTATTCACTGTTTCAGATTTAGAGAGAATAGCACTTAAGCGACAAATCTCTTCACAATGAATGATCATATTTTCAAGTTCAAGCACTTACCGAGCTGAAAAAACTGAAGCGATGTATAAGGATGAAGACATAGGTTGACACCACCCACGATAGCTGCATCACATTCTCCACTTCGTATCATTCTGTAAGCTTCTGCAATAGCGAAGTGGCTTGAACTGCAGGCTGTGTCCACGGTATAAGATGGTGCGGTAAGGCCGAGCCAGTGAGAAATGCTGTTCGCCAACCAGTATTTACTGCAGCCAATAATTGGGTATCCAGCTGCCTAATTGGAAGTAAATTACGTTCATATTAGTCTTTATCTCTTATTTCTTTACTTTCCTTACCCCCTACATGTATATGTTCGTGCTTATGTATATGTAAAATAAACTTTTTATTAGTTATAATACAAAAGAGTCTCAAACAATGTGTGTTTCAATGTGAATTAACTGTTTTCATAGCCTCGTCTAATCGTGTAACACTATCTAGTGTTTAATATTTGCAACGTTCTTATCATTTCTCTATATTGGATATTTAATAAGTTCCGGCATGATCAAATATTTCGGAACTAAGACCACAGTTACCGTTATAATATTTCAAGAAATATATATTTGAAAGAGAACGGTACAACATTTATTTGTAATATTATTACGTTTATTTGTAATATTATTATTCCGAAAAGTTTCTTTTCCGTAATATTCGGCTGTTTAAAAACTGCTTTCATATCCTTAATATCATAAAGTATTATACTTCAGTCTTGTAATAAAGGATCTCGTTGGTCGCTTCAGAGTAACATGATCCTATGAAGACACCAGTTTTTGTCCCTCGCAATTCTTTGGGATTTATTCCAGCGTCGATAATCGCTTCGTAGGTGTGCTCGAGCAACATCCTGCACATGGGATCGGTAACATGCGCCTCCTCAGGTGAAATATCAAAGTATTGCGCGTCGAACTTGTCTGCATTATTAACTTTCCCCATTCGAGTTGGCATATCATAATAAACTATAAAAATTCCAAACGTTCATGTTCTGTACTAAGAATATAATCTGCTGAATTTCGATTATTTTTTCTTTTTGCCTTTTGCGTAGTATGTATTATAATTCGTGTGGTTACCATTACTCCACCGTCGATTGTCGTCCGAACCGAAATCCACTTTGTTCAAGAGATTTTCTTGCAACTCCTTCATATTGTTTGTTTCAGGAAACCGACCAGCGATACCGGAAATCACAATTTCTTCACTCGGAGGAACTTTTACATATGAGTTATATCTTCCGCTAGCCTCCATACTTTCGTCCCACTAACAGATCTTTTCGTACAGAAGACGGAGTGCAAAATGTTTTCTACTTCTTCGGACAGAAACAAATATAACGATCAAAAGAGGTGTTGAGTGAATCTACCATCTACAATCTACAAGCAATCTTCCCGCGTGAAAGAATTTTATTTAACCCATTTGCATCACAGCTCTAAATACGCAACTAACTTCAGAAATCTGAAACGTTCAACTGACAGTCGGCCTGTATCTTCGCGTATTAACGCACATCATTGACGAAGAGTGAACGTCGTCGTGAACGTATTGTTCCGCGGTTGCTGATAAGTGAACGTCGTGGCTCGCGGAATATTCCGCAGCTAGTAATAAGTGACGATCATTATGCGCGGATTATTCCGCTTGCGGATGCAAATGGGTTAATCAGAGACACGGTCGTATCTCGCGCCAAGTTCATGCGCAGCAACGGCGAGGCGGATGTATTTATACGCGACGTGTCTAAATTGGGAAATATCGCCGATATCGGATTTCAATAACGGCTGAATGGATTGATTTCACATTAAGCTTAATCGATAGCTTGGGGACGAATTATATAATGAAAGTAGTTTTATTTTTGCGCTACGTATCCTAGGATCAGAATTATTACGATGCACAGTGAAAAATGTGAAACTTCTTAATAAAAAACGTTGTCGTCGTCGGAATTGTCCTTTTCCAATTTCTAACACAAGAAGGTACGTACTAGTAACGCTTGCAGTCGATAACGCGCGAAGAGTGTGTACACCAAATCGCGTTTCAATCGTTTATTGAGTGTTATAGCGCAATAGTGTAAACTTTAACATTAGTAAACTTTAGCGCAATAGTGTAAACTTTAACATTAGTAAACTTTAACATTAGAAGGACCGGATTTGACGATTCCTTTAGAAAGATCGTAAGAGCCAATTTGGCTCCAAGCATACCTTTTCGTAAATTACAAATAGAAAGAAATTAAACATATAGGTAATTATAAAATTTAAAGTTTTAACAGTAATATCATTAACTTATTGAACAAAAAATTGTTAGTTATATTGAATTTTTTTTAGTCTTTAGTGAAAAACTAAACGTGAAGTACAACGCCGTTATGTACTACAGAAAAGGCATTTGTACATAATTTTCTTCGTACATTTACCGCATACAAATTTTTTACGCGAATAACATTTTCCAACTTTATGGTTTATTTTGCAGTTTTTTATCTGACAAAATGGTCGTTTGCCTGAAGCATCGTCGGATTCAGTTTCTTCTCCAGTTGTATTAAAATTTTAGGACTTTCGTCTTTGGGCAACATATGGCGCATTTAACTCTTCCGCGAGATTTTGTAAAAAGATTCTTCTTGATTTGTTTTATACATAACTTCTTTGTATATAATCCATGCATTTATAACAACAAAATCCAAACTATTATAACCAATATTATAAAAAATATGAACTGGCCAACGGCGAGATGTTATATATACATATCTATGTGTACATATGTATGTATTATATAATTGTTTTTCAAGCGAACAAATAGATAGATACATATGAAAATATTGATTTATCTATTTAAAGTCATAAAACATAAATAAATCCATAAAACATGTGAGAATGCAACATTAGATATAAGAGAGCCAAATTGGTTCCAACGGTCCTTCTAGATAATGTTCGTGCCTATTAACATTAGATAATCCATGCACTTATAGCAACAAAATATTGTAAAATCTCTGAACTGGCCAACGGCGAGATGTATATCTATGTGTACATATGTATCTATATAATTGTTTTTCAAACGAACAAATTGATAGGTGCACATAAAAATATTTATTTATCTATTTAAAATCATAAAACTTATAAATAAACTCATAAAACATGTGAGAATGCAATATCAAATGTAAGAGAATCAAACTGGCTCTAACAGTCTTTTTAGGTAAACAATTAAATAAAAATTTAACCATCTTACATAATTGAAAAATTTTTATACCAAGATTAAGAATATGATAAATGATGAAAAGTCACAAAAGGATATCACGTGGAGACAAAGTTGAAAAAAGTTATAGCAGTTTGAATTTCGCGAGAAGCCAAATTAGCTGCCTCGGTCTTACTAGTGTTAATGCAATGGGAATGTAATTTGCAATGGGAAGTTTTACCACACCCGGCATATTCTCCAGATATTACCCCATCGGATTTTTACTCACTTCGTTCTATGTAGCTCAGTCTTTTGGCACACGATTTCGCAATGTTGATAAAATGCAACAATTAGTCCATAAATTTATTCATTCTAAGAACAGACTTCATTTATCGTGGCATTCACCTTTTGCCTGAAAGATGGCAAAAAGTAATAAATAATGCTGGAAAATATTTGGTTAAAGATACTATATCATTTATGATAATACTAAATAAAGAACATTATCAAAAACTATGAAAATTTTTGCATTACCCTTGATAAGATGACGAGAAACGTGTAAAAAAGCTTCAGCTGATTGCACGCTTCTACGTATGAAAAAAAAACGTTCGAATACGCAGTGTAAAAATAGAAGGACACATGGAACAATTATTGGAAATAAAGTAATAATAAAATAGTATTAATGATATGATAAAATATTCGTTTGTTTATTCATCGCGTGCAATCAATAGAAGCACTCATATAACTCGCGTTACCAAAATCGAAAAACGTTTGTAGTTCTTAACATTGTAGTTGATTTTTTAGCTTGTGTTTACTAAGGACTTTTTACTCGCAAGGGGAATATCAGAAGTGGACCGTGTTTCTCAAATGCGATTTTTTGCAATAGATAATCTTTCATGTTTACGATAAAAATCTCAAACATTAGCTTCAGATTTCTTTTTTACAAATTGCAAAAAATATAAAATATAGATGTCATCGAATCGACTAATCGCTTGGCAGCGCGATAGATTTTAAGGAAAGCAGGAAAGAAATGAAGTAGCAAAATGTTACAAGTATTATTTCTATTTTTAATACTCTGTATAACGGAAGTCTATTACAAGTCAGTCTTTTAGGCTTTTATATTTTATATAGACATTTTTATTACGATAATTTATTTGATATAATCAAGCGTATATACTTACGATGAATATTGTTTTCAACGATGATATCAGAAGACGTGAAAAGCCAACCGATATGATTATAAAACCATTGTCACGAAACACTCGCGACAGAATGTTCTTAAACTCATATTGCACGCACATCTTATATACGTTCTTAAAAACATAGCGTCATGACAGAAATTGAAGAAGTGCATTAGAAAAGGTTAAAGGTGCGATATTCATTTATGAACTCATTGTCTATTCGATTCTGCGAAAATGTTTAGTTAATGAGTCTAACGTACTTTGCTACATCTTAATTTATAACTGACGAATTAAAAAGTTCTGAATATATTTAAATAACTAATTCTACTCTATCTACTTTGCGCGATTAAATATACAAAGTTTAATTTCCGCAATACCTTTTTTTTATCACGGTGGGGAAATCCGCCATTACTATCTGACATTAAGGCTATAATCGAACTAAATCCATCCCAATCGGTACGAGAGATTGCTACGACATTGAATACATCCCACACAAGCGTAGAAAAGCATTTGCGCCGGCTGGGATACGTTTCTCGGCTTAATGTTTGGGTGCCGCATTAATTAACCGAGACTAACTTGATCACACGCATATCCATTTGCGATTCTCTACGGAAATGCCAAGAAAACGATCCAATTTTTGAAACGAATAGTGATTGGGTAACGAAAAATGGGTCGTCTACGATAATGTAATACGTAAAAGATTATGGGGCACAGCAACGAGCCAACGCAAGCAACCTCGAAAACGGGATTGCATCCGAAGAAAATAATGCTCTTCGTATGATGGGATTTCAAGGCTGTTATTATTATGAACTGTTACCGTCAGGCAAAGCAATTGATTCAACTGTATACTGTTCGCAATTCACGAAATTGAACCAAACATCCGCACAAAACGTCCAGAATTGGGCAAATCGCAAGGGTTCGTCTTCCACCCGACAATGTCAAACCTCATACGTCTATACCACTCGGAACAAAATGATTCAGGCTTGGCTGGGATGTTTTGCCTCATCTCCGTATTCACCAGATCTTGCCCTTCCGATTATTCATTTATTCCGGTCGCTGCAGACTTGTGAACGGGAAACCTTCAAGGATGAAGAGGCCGTTAAAACCACCTGGATGTTCGCGATAAGCCTCAAATGTTTATACCGGCCAATAATGAGTTGGTGAAAGCATGTAGAGTCATCGATAAAGATGGCCAATATACAATTGATTAAAATTTATCTTGTGATCAAAAAATTGTGTTTTATTTTATTCTAAAAAACCGAACGAACTTATTGCCAATCCAATATTAAATAAGTTTAAGCTCGATATAGATCTTGGTGCAGTCTCCTCTCTTTCCTCCCTCGTCCTCTCTACCTCTCTTCCCTCCTTCTCTCTTCCTTCCCTCCTCTCCTCCCCTTTCTCTCTCTCTCTCTCTCTCTCTCATCTCTCTCTCTCTCTCTCTCTCTCTCTCTCTCTCTCTCTCTCTCTCTCTCTATTCTAGCACTCAATTTATGTTGATATTTAATCCCTATTAATGCACTAATACGTATTGAATTTCCGAACAAAAGCGTCCGACAAAAACCTTGCTGAATTTCGAAAAACGAATCACCATCGATGTTTTCTCTAAAACTTTTTCACAGGACTTGTATAAAGGGTGATATAATCACTACCATTACGGATCGTTCAATATGTATAAATATCTAAATGTTAATACATTATAACAAGCGTTAATTGTATAATTTACTATTATTCCTCAAACATTAAACAAGGTGATGTTTAAGTCTGATTTGGTTGTTTCTACGTCTGAAAAAGAAAAGGGAAAATAATTTGATAAGATACGTCCTGAGAAGGAGGAGACGTAACTGGATGCTTGCTTTCGCAGTCCGAGTGTACTAGGAAGTCTGGTGCAGATCAAATATCGAAATGACTCCTTTTCTGGCATGGACGTACGTCGCGGGTCCTTATTTAAGTCAGGGGACCCGAATCCCTTTACCTGGGATAGGATCGTGAGCAACAGTTGAGAGAAGTGGCTAGAGAGCTGATTTTAAAATCAAAT